TGCTCTTTGACACTTTTCAGTTCATTGACTCTTTTGCAACTGTCTGTTGACTATGTTTGTAATTTTATAGCCAATAGTATCCTTTTTCTCCTGGCAATTACCAAGTGTGTTGCGTATGGGTCTCGATTTTTTTTTGCTGTTTTTGGGAAATTGAAAGAAATGTCACAAGCTTAGGAGTGGTTTTTCATGAAAACTTTGCAATGAACAAACAGATCAACCGTGTTACCAGACTTTGTTCTGGCAGCTTAGACAACTCTGTTGAATACGTAAATATGTATCAACTGCAAAAGCTTCACATCTAGCTCGCTCCTTTGTTTTTTCGAGGCTGGGTAACTGTAACAGCATCTATTTTGGTTTGACTATTGATCAGATTTATAAACACGCGCTTAGAATGCAGCTGCTTGGTTCGTTTTCTGCTTCAAACGTAGAGATCGTATATGTCCGGCTCTTACCGAGCTAATTTGGGTGCCATATAATTGTCGAATTAATTTTAAAACTGCAGCGCTCTTTTTCCAAATTGCGAGACAACCACCTGCAAAGTTATCTCTGCAACTTGTTATTGGCTCTGTTGCGTTATAGAAGAACCGGTGAATCGCTACTACAAGTACGAGGAAGAACGAAATATATCCAACAAACATTTTCCTTTTCTGTTGCTGCCGCTTGGAACAAAATTCCAGAAGATGTGCGATGCGTGCAGTCTTTAGAAGTTTTAAAGCGCAATCTGAAGACTCACTTTTTTGGTAATTTTTTCAAACTTAGTAAACTTAGTAGCCATTTGTATAAAAGTGTAATTTATTTTTTTCTTGTGTAATCCAAAGATGGTGTTCATTAAGTTGGCTGATGTCTGATTGAAAGAAAACTTTCAGTCTATTCCCCCCTAAGATACAAGACTTATTTTCTAGTTCTTAGTTCACAGGGGTATTTTTGGTTCACAGAAAAATTTAAGTTGTAGTCATCCCTATTTTTTGTCATGGTATTATGTTGACATCTAAAATTTTTACCCAAAGCAGTAGTTCGTCCTAATTTAGTCGGCGTACTGGCCGGGTTTTAATTTCAATATTTTTATCAAAGGTTTTGTACTTTCGCATTTCATTCTTGTGCTGCATAGATATATACATACTTTTTAACCACTAAAACTAAGGATAAGTTTTTTTGAGGTTTTTTGGCTGCATGTTTTCCTGATTGGTTTTTTTCGTGTTTTGTGCTTTCCAGAGTTTTGATAAATTTTCTGAAAATTCTGACTTTCTGCAAATGTTTTAGTTTGCTTTGCCGAGTTTCAATCGAATTTCTGCAAATTCTGATGTTCTGCAAATTTTTTGTGTTAATTGTTTGAAGAAAAGGTATAAAAAATAGAGCGTAACGCGAATTATTTATGCGTGGAGAATTATCCCGCACACCAAATTGTTTCCAAATTGAACTGAGGCTAGCTAATCGGTCGTATTAGTTTCGTACGACTCAAAATTTCACACTTTGAAATTGTCCACAATTTATAGGTTTTCAATATTTTCTTTTCCCAAAAACTATTCGATCATGTGTTAAGGGGCAGTCAGAACATTCAGGGCTTTGCCCTGATATACGAGCAGTCTTGCTGCTATTAATACATGCTTGTTTTGTTATTTTATTTTTAACATGGGAAGTGTAAATATCACTTTCGCGCTTGCTGAATTTGGACCTGATTTTCGTAAAGTTTCAAATTATAGCATTTTTGATATCTTTGATCTTGCCGAAACCAACCCTTAACCGATGATTCCAGGCGTTCAAATTTTGTCTGTCTCTTGTTTTACAAATTATTGACACGTGTGATGAGTTAGTCAGATAGGCCTTTCTGAATCAGGAGTTCAGATAAATATGAGATGTTGTTCCTCTGGAAGTCTTTTGACTTTTTGGCGTTTTAATTTTTGTAAATTGCAACTGTTTTTAATTGATTGCTAGCCGTTTTTTATAAATATACGTTTTCACGTTCCTGTGAACAATTTGTCTTAGAGTTTTTTCTAGAATTGAGTAATGTGTTTCCTGCTCACGTGCTTCAATATAGTGCTATTGTATGAACGTAGTTATATGGATACCAAAGACTTCATTAGAGACCTGGCTCAACAACCAGGAATTGTTAATGAACTCATTTACTTGAATATTATGGATATTTTCTACGAACTATTCATGGAAGTTTTTCAATTAATTTTGGCATTAGTTGTTCAAGCTGACTCTCTGGTGATTTTTAAAAAGTTTTTTGTCTATTTTAGAACATCCTATTTTTCAAAGTTGATGCTAATCGAGTTCCTGTAACTCATTTTTTGTCAACCTTAATTTTTAGAGCTTGCAATTATTGTGTTATCTTAACCGTCCATGTGGAGTGAATTTATTCTTAGAACTTCATGTATTTATTTTTTTGCCTTTTCCTTTTTAACCTGTCTGGGCCTTTATGCACTAAACGGTCCGAAATCAATTTTTATGCTGGATCAACTGAAACTCAAGGCTATATCTGATTGGCTATTATAAGGAATCAAATTGAAGCAACATGGCCGTGCACTTCAATTAACTTTTTGCACACATAATTTTCACTTTTTTACCTCATAAAATGTGCATTTCGAAAATGTCAACAAGTAATTCGATCCACATTTCTTGTTGTTCGGAATTTTTTTCATTTTTTAAATCACTTAAAAATTAAAATGTTTTTTCTAAAGTATTCTGGGACACAAATGTCTACGCACCATTCTAAATATGGAAGTCTATATTGAAATTTTGAAAATCAAAATGGTTTGATTTAAATTTTTTTTGGGACGATTTTTAAAAAAAAAATGCAGTTGAGAGTAATACGGAGTGTGCTTTTCGAAAATATCAACAAATAATTTGATTCACATTTTTGTTCGTATTTAGTTTCATTTCTTTTATCGTTTAAAAAATAAAATGGATCTTGTTAACTTTTCCCCCCTCCCTTATTGCTCCCCCTATCAAAAGGGTAAATAGTTAGCAAGATCCAATAAAATATTTATTGTAAGGTTTTCTAAAACTGGAAGTCAGTTTTGAAAATTGGTTTGATTTGAATCTTTTTGGGACGTTTAGTGCATGAGACCGACTGTTTTTAAATCCAGCTGTAATACGAACTCATGAGGCTTGAACATAAGTTTTATCTGTCTTCTACTTCTGAAGAAGTTTAATTTGAAAACGGCATTTTTCCAAAATGTTATAAGCAGTTCTTAGGATTCTGTTTTTTTTTGATATTCTCGGGAGAAGTTGGTCGTTTTTGAGTGTTCCTCTCCCTGTAACATTTAGAAAATCATATGCGGATATTGAACCTTTTTAACTATTCCCCCTTTTGCTATGGGGGAGGGGGGGGTGAGTAGTTAGAGAGATAGGGAGAAATTGGCCGATTAAATACAGTTGTAAAATGATGTACATAAATCTTTTTCCAGTCATTTTTTTTTCTAAATATAGAAGAATGCGTTATTAGTTATTAGTCACATGAATGATCAGCTCATGACATGATAAAGCCGGCATCTTATTTTGAGCAGAGTAGTATTTTATTTATTCGGCGGCAGAGGAGAGCGATATTGTGAGGTGTTTGTTGTTTTGATTAGCTGCTGTTTCGTTCTGATTAGGTGATTGATTAAGTTGTTATTGTTGAGCATGCGAGGGCGCCACTGAATAAACAACGTCTGCCATGAGATGCTATTGAGCACTCTTGACTCGGACTGAGAGGCTTGTCTACTGAGTGTCCAGTCGAGTATTAATACGAGAGCTTGTTATTGCTTAATTGGCCCCATTAAATTTTTTATACTTGGCGTATAGATAATACACACGTTGATAGTAATGAGCTCTTTAAAAAGCAGTCACAAATGCGCCGCTCGCTTAAGTTAGTCTCTGTTTAAATATCAACAGAGTAGCTCGTTAACTTGCTGGTGACGCTAAAATAACAAACTCTGCTTTAGAGCTCTGGTCCAGCAGGTCTGGCTATCAAGCGAGAACTAAAGTAGCTAAGACCGGCGCTCGATTGAAATCAGAACTTATCTGTGGTATTTGTATAATGTGGCGTAGACAAGTATATTACAAGCAACAAAGCAAAAGGTGCTCAACATGCATTGGTATGTGAATTGACGAGTCCCATCTATGTTGTTTAAAGAAGTCTTCAGTCTGCGATGTTGATTGATGATACTCGAACATAATACGCAGTCGCCTTGTTGACTGTGCCTATAAAAACAAGTAATTCATTCTAGTTATTGATTAATAACCGATTGTTTTCATAGACGCACCGACCAATGTTTAATAGCATCGAGAAACATTTGAATCTGAATTTAATGGTGGCCCCAGGGATTTGGCGCGCAGTCGTGACGTGATTAAATTATAAACAACCATCGATGGTTCTTAACGATGTAGCTCCTCGAGATTCGAGACTTGGTACCTGCTGCGTGATGAATTGAGTACAAACTACTGGCGCAGTGATGCCATGTGATTTTTAGAGTCCCAGAATATAGTTGAAATCAAAACGTCATAGGCACAAAAACGCACAGTCGCTCGAGTTGACATGTAATTGCCTGAAGTTGATGGTTGAGATTTAGCAAAAACTTTTTTCAGATGTCTCATTTTAGATCTTTTTTGTTATGAACAATTTGCTATAATTTATGTAACTTTTAAGTAGCTAGTTTCTAAGCCATTAGTATTGAAAGATGCGGCTAAAGAGCTCATCAATGGTAGTCAAAGTTTGAAAAGCTAAATCGCTTCTGGTGTTTTCTTAACTAATGCATATGTTATAACGTATAACAACTATCTGAGACTGGTTATGAAGTAATTATAAAAACATCCTCAGGGCGCCACGACTACCAAAGTTCTAATTGGGATTTTACCGAGTTGAAAACACGCGTTGTGTTTTAGCAAACCACTTCGGCGTTGACGCTTCATTGAACGTTTTGTCTTAGGCAAGAAGCAAACCAACATGATTAAATTATAATTGACACTGTGGCAAAAGTATCCAAAAAGTATCAAGCTAGTTGATCATTTTCAGGTACTTGATGCGAAAATGGTGAGAGCTAAAAAACCATTGTCAAAAGCCAAAAATCTACGAAGAAAAGTAGAATATCAAGGAAAAAATGCTGTCAAAGGCGGTGTTTCTAAGAAAGAAACGAAAGAAAAGGCTATGAACCCTTTCGATTTGAGATACATAAAACAAAAGAAAATGGCAGTCGTTGGAAAAACGGTCAATCATAATTTGACGCAGTCTAAAAACATGAAAATCGGTGGCAGACCTGTGGAATCGAAGACAAAAACGAACGCAATGAGAAGAAATACCTTCACAAATCTGTTGAAAAATGAAGGAAAAAGAAATTTGTTCGAAGATAGAAGAATTGGCGCAAGCGCAGGTTCGAAACTTGGACCAAGTGCTTCGAACTCCACCAGAAATATGAACGATGAGTCTATATTTGAGGACATGATGTTTAAAAAGTTCCAACTTCAGCGGCAAAAAATGTCTGAATCTAGTTTCGGTTCGAAGCCTAGCCAAGTAGTTAAAAGGTTTAGTGGTAATAGCCATGTAAGTAAATACCAGTTGGTTAATAAAGATGATAGTGATGATGGCAACGGGGTCGGGCAAACGGTGGAGTTGACTCATTTGGGACAAAGTATAGGGGAGATGGAGAGATTCGAAACGCCGACCACTGCTGTTTTGAGTGACGAAGATGGCGTGGAGGAGGAGCAGGTTTTCAGTGAAGCTATGGCCTCGGATGACCGGAATCTGACTCTGAAAGGTGATTGATTAAATTGTAACAACTTGCACCCCTTTAATATCCTTAACTACCCCAAGGGTACCTGTTAACGAATAACGAACCCTACCACATAAGAAAAATGTACTTAGTAACGAATCGCTCTCCCGTATAGTTAAATGAATGCAAAATCTTTGTGTAAATAGTTTTTTAAGCTAGGCAACTCAGCTTTAAAGGTTCCGAACGCATTTATATTTGTATTTAGTTTCGACACAAAAAGTCTAGTTTTGGTTGCAACGATTAACGTTTTAACTGAGTCTAGCTTTCTCAAAAAAGCCATTTAGGCACATAAAATGTGTCTTTCTAAGCTTTGATACCAATTCATTTGAAGTTTTGAAAAAGTTATATTTTTACTCCTAGGATATTATCAACAAATTGTGTTTAGAAAAGATGCAAAAATTGATCGCGATGTCCAAAATGAAGAAATCTCTCCAACAGGAAACGAACGACAAATTAGCTGAACAGACTCACAATCTAGACGCGGAGTTCAAAGACATCTCGCATCTTCTCACTAATGCTAATATCACAACGACCGAACGAAACGAAAGAGAAATCCAAGCCGATAAAAGTTATGGAAGTTTCATGGAAGCGCTTGAAGATTGCGCCAGAGCAAAGCCAGATGATCCAATCGACGAGGAAAAGAAGACAAGAGAGGGAACGCAGGATGGTGATGATGATCCAGACCATGTTATTTTGGACGTCAAAAAGGTTCCGGATGTAAGAGATCCAAAGTTGAAGCCAATTCCGACCAATCATGTATCAGCGGATGATTTAGGCGAGACGTTTTTCGACTATAAACGTCACATGGATAGGAAAGCAGATATTTTTTACTCGCAATCGGGAGAGTTGAAAGTTCCGGGAGGAGGATTTGACAATAAGTTTTTGTTGAAGAAAATAAAACGAAAACGAAGAGTTTCAGACGATGATTTGAGCGATGACGATGATAGTGAAGATAGCGCCGAGGGCTTAGAATCTCCCGAAGATGAAGACTCGGAATCTGAAACTGACCAATTACAGGAGCGAAGTTCCGCTGAAGAGGATGAAGAAGAGAACGATGATATGTGTGAAAATTCCGATGACGTAATCAAAAACGAAGGTGACGTAATTGAAAATGAAAACGAGGATTTGGAAATTGATCAAAACCAAAATGGGGCGGAAAGCGATACCGAAGAAATAAGTCCGGAAATTTCCAAAATCTACCCGACCAATTTTGACGATTTTACTACGAAAATCAAAGATGAATATGCCGAAGGTGGAGAAAAACTGAAATCATATCTTGAAAATGTTGTAGAAATTCTTTGCAAGCGAACAGATTATAAACGGAGTTGTAATAAGTTTTTAAGGTTTCTGATAATTGCTATGGAAAATAGCATAATCGAAACTAATTCATCGTCACGTTTTGATGCCAATCTGCTGAAAGTGATACGTTCGTCTTTACGAAATGTATGCGTTAGGAACACAGAAGTTTCGGTTTCGATTGTAAAGGAACTGATTATCGAAAAATTCCAGAATCTCAAATCGTTCAGTTGTTTGAATACAGAAAACTACATTTTTGTTAAGTTTCTAAGCCAAATATACGATCTGAGCTGCAAAGGTTTGTTGAGTCTGCAGTTAATGATTTGTCTGTTCATATCCAAAACGCTTACAAAAGGAAAACTTTACTCAATCAGCGATTTGAGGAATTATTTGCTCTTTGCCGATTTGCTTTTGAAAGTTAACTCGAAACCTGTGCGATTTGCACCTGAAGTAATAGTTGTAGTTGAAAATGTCTTGAAACTTGCGACCAATGAAGCTTTCGACGAATGCTCAAATGTCGAGATTAAAGCAGAATTTCTACGATCAGGATTGACTTCAGAGAAGAAACTTAAAATGTTTGATGACAGTCAATTGTTATTTTTAACGTGTGCTCGCATGAAGCAAACACCTGCTACAAGATTCCAAATTGTCAATTTTGCTCTGGAATTGTTTTCCAAATGTGAGTGGGTATTTATACAGCTGTGTTTTCACAGAAGATTTGAATTGACCTCACCAATGTATTGATTATGTTTTAATCGATTGTTGGAATTCTTTTCTGAAACCTTTGAAATTGTAGTTGGGAACAATTGTGACTTAAGAATTGTCCAAATTTTCAATGTTTGTGGCAAATGGTGTGCATATTGATTTTGTGGAAAATTGATTTAAATGCTGTAGTGAAACGGTTGATACTTAAAAATGGATTGATTGAAAAATCGGCTTTCAATTGTTCCTTTTCCCTCCCATCTTGTTTTTAAGATATAAGGAAGGACTTATAAACAAAACCCGAAAAATAGAAAGTTGTTCCAAAAATCAATTAATTTTTCTTTTTCAGTTTTTTCATAAATTGGATCCCATGTAAAAATAATCCATCTGCGTTTGAAAAGTTATAAGAAGTCAAATTTTAAATTATAATTCAACTTATAAGTTTCAATAGAAGTCAAACTTTTTTCTATGTTGATAACGGTTCTCTATTAAATTAAAATCTGAAGTGTAAACTTTAAAAAATTTGATGCAAAAAAATAAATCATGACAATTTTTTTTGGGTGGGGGAGGCTTTACACTTTTGCGCAATAATTGAATATTATAGAGCCTTGATCATATTCAGATGTCAACTGTTATGACCCTCAAAAGTAAACTTACATTTTAGAGAACACTAATTACAATTCGAAAGTGCTCTAGTACTAGGGATTGTAGTTACCAATTAAAAAACAAAAGTATACTAAAGAGCAATTGATCCAATTGTTGTGCAATGTTTTTGAGGGGAAAGGCTTGTTGAATTGAGAAGACAAGATTAAAATGGCGCCATTAGCATCTTAATTTCGCTATGTCATGGCGGCAATGATATAACAGTCAAAATTTTCAAAAGTGGACTTGAAAAAATTCAGTTTTCTTTGAAAACTTTTCAAAAATTCAAGTTTCGTCTTGGAAATTTAAATGAGCAAAATTGGGGCATATTTATTTCATGATTGAGAGCTCTTAAATCTTAATTTCTTTGTTTTTTCTTTTGATTAGGCATTACTTGTGAGAGTCAAGATCGCAATCTTCGTATATTTTTTAAGAAAATGTGTTTTTATTTCGCGTATCTGTTGCAAAAATTGAGTTTATTTTCGCTTTTCTGATTTTCTAACGGTCCCTGGTGAACAAAGTGAGATTCAATTGCTCTCAAACTCAATATGTGGAATGATTTGTTACTGTTTAACAGTAAACAAAAGGCCAATTTAGTAGTGTTATACTTTTTTCTACTTTTTTATACTTGAATGTAAGTTTTTTGCCAGTTTAAAAACTGGATGAAAATAAAGTGAAGTGGGAGAGCAAGTTTAGTCAAGTGCCAAAAAGTAACTTGAGTTTATTGCCAATAGTTTTAATTTTTCTAGGAGGAAAGTAGCAATTGCATTGTTTACTCTCTAATTGAACTTCATTTGGCGTCCATTGCAAAACTTAAACTGCAGATCAGTGTAAGCACACATTGAACTGTTTTTAAGGCGATAAATATAGATTTTTGAATTGTGCTGAATCACTTGAAAAATTACGTTTAAACAAAAAGCTCATTTTGGAGATATGAACTTGTGTGCGTGCGACCACGAAGTGATATGTGGTATGCTTTTTTTTGCCTTAAAGAGCAGTTTCGAGCGGAGTTGATGAAATCCCAATTATCCCAGTACTAGCTCTCTGCTGTAAAAAAACTTAGATTCCTTATATATTAATCAAACTGTCAAAAAGTAGTTTTTGAAACTAAATTCTTAATAAAAAGACTCAAAATTATCTGTTAAAATTTTGAAAACCAAGTTTTTCCATTGTAAAGTTAGCTGTAATGGGAATTTTCTATTGTACTTGTTCAGTCACCGGGTATTTTGGTTTAAGCTTTCATTATGGTTCTCGGCCTGAGATTTCCATGATAATTAGATAGTTGTGATCAAAAATCTTCCTGTTTAGGCCTTGATATGTGGTCCGATGTCCCTGCTTTGACTACGACGATATCAAAAATCAAAGAAATAGTAGCTGACCTGGTTGCAAAGAAAGATTTGGGATCACAAATACGAGAGAAGCTTGATGGTGTTCAAGTGAAAATTCTAGATTTGGAGAAATTGGAACGACCTCAGTTGCACTTGGTTAAGGAGAAGCCAAAAGCATGGAAGCAGTTCAATCCAAAGTTGATTGATAATTTCGATGAAAGCAAAGCAAAAGGTTAGAGTTCTAATCATCGCTTTACGATTGTAAAATCAAGAAGTTTTCTGTAGAAGTGTGAAAAAGATGGTTTCAATTAAGCCCCGATTTCAAGTATTTTTTTGAAACCACTGTAAACAAACTTCTCAAGTGTTTGCATTCGACCTTTGATACGAAACTATTAGTAAATTAAAGGATTTCGCCGTAAAATCTACCCTAAATTTGTGCTACTGAAGGAACTAAAGTGAACTAAAAGGTCGACAAAATGTTCGACATTTGTTTGAAAGTATCATCTCGAGAAGTTTCTCGATCCGACCCTGAGTTGAGGCACAGTCAGGCGGTAGCAGAAATTTAAAGGTCAAAAAAACGTGATTGTCATCTAGTTTCGAAAACAGGTTTTAATTTTCAGAGTTCCCAGTGGAATTACAAATTCCAACTGACCCATTTTTTTCAAATAGCGTTTGTTTTTTTTTTCAAAAAACTTGAATTTATATATTTTTTTTGAGTTCCAAGAGCTTGATGGCCATTTTTTTTTTGCTCTTGAATTCCGAAAGTTGATTTTTGAAGTTTTTTTTTTCAAAAAAAAACAAGGCAATTTTTTGTACCGTTTCCTTGCTTTTCCAACTGTCTGTTGGCTTTGTTTAAAGAAGTAGCAAATCATAAAGTGAAAAGTCTATATACCATGGAGTTAAATGAGAAAGAAACAAAGTAAGTGATCGGAACAATGTGATGTTTGGGAAACAGTCAGGTAAATAGTGTGAAAACCGTTCAGGATCGGCCTGGGGCAAACAGAACGAGCGGGTGCGGAAGAAGAGGAAATTGAAGCGAGAAATTCGTGGAGCCATGAAGGAACTGCAGAAGGACTCGATGCTGCTTCAGAAGATGAGAGTGGAAGAGCAGTTGGCGAAAGACAGAGAGAGGAATGAGAGAGTGAAGAGGATTTATGGACAGCTAGCCAATCAGGAGGGGGAGGTGAAAAAGATAAAGAAGGCCAAGTTTCAACTCATATGATGGGGTCAAGAGGTCATGGTTTCCATTTTACACTGTCACAAAAGCGCCTTGTTGTTCGGATTAAATCCAAGAAGGTAGCACAGCAAAAGTAGTTTGGGCCAAAAAGTCTTGCGACTGAACAAAAAATTGGAAAAAGAACGTAATGTTTTTCTTTGTGAAAAATTTATTGAGTTGTTTGAATTCAACATTATATCAAAGATTATGTATTTTCAGAGCAGGTATTTGATGATTTAAAAGTTATTATTTTTTAAGCACTGTAATGAAAAGCTTTTGATGCACAAAAAAGGGCAATATTTCGCAAAGTTTGACACTTTTCCCATAAAAATGTTCTCTATATTTGGCAAAAGAACATAACCCTTGGCGATTCAGTTTGGGTTGGACCCTTAGCTGAGTTTCAATTACAAAGCAAAATGTTTTCCTTTGGACGAAATCAAACACTTTCCAGTTGAGTTGACAGTCACTTTGTAGTTTATCAGCTGGAATGAAGTTCAGCTAATTGAAACTTGCCGATTTAAAAACAAATTTTCCAAATTGTGATTCCTCCTCAAAAGTGGGAATCGTGTTAGCAACAGTAAACAAAACAATACTAACTGTCTTTTGATGGTTTCGGTCAAGAATTTGTAAACATTATATAGGAAGTCTCTTTTCGTTTACTATCGCTGCATTGAAGTTACCTACTATCATTTTCACACTTAACTTACGACTTGTTCACGCGTTTTGGACGGTACTGAATAAACTTTTGAACACATTTCAAAAATCACTTCCGACTTAATTTAATTTCAATCTTCTGCGCTAATTTGACCAAGAAAGATTAACAACCACAATCCACAATGCATTAGCTATCTAAAGAGGCAATTAGAGAATAGTACCAATATTGGCGCAATTATTGCAAATAATCGATTAAAAGATTATTTTTCTAACTTAATCTAACCTGGCGCCATCAATTAGTTGAGTGCTTAATAAACGTGGACGCAACAATCAAGTCCAAAAAACAAGGTGTCGCGAAGTATTCAATTTAGTAGACAGTGATTCGCCAATTTTATCATTTAAAAAATCTAATCGAAAAAACAGCTTGGTCTATATTTGTTTCTGTAATTTAATTTAGCGCAGTACAGTCTTATTAGTTGTTTGGACATCAAAATCAATTGACCAATAGAATCTCAAATAGCACATCTCAGATTTTCTCTCAGTTCTTTCATATTTGTTTGACAAAAATTAATAAAATCGTTCTAGCCAAATAGCCATTCATAAACATTCTTGATTTTTTCATCGACAAATCGTGTTTTCCTTGCATCGCAATTTCAAAACAATTTTTGCTTAAATTTACATAAATAAAACGTACTCATTCAAAATCGAATAATACAAACTACAGTTGTATTTGAACTTTGTTAAAATTTTCATCTGATAATTTACTTTTAATTGAATTTCTCGAAAACAGAAGTTATACATTTTTATCAAGATGAAGCGATCTTTCATGATGGTTGACATTCTCTCCTCTGACTCTAAAAAAGAGTCGAAAAACGAGCCGGAAAGCAGTGCGAACAAGGTATCTATGCTGGACCAGAATCTCCTAGAACAGACTGTTCTTTCGGTGACCGATTCGCTGACGATTCAAATCGGAGACGAAGCTACAAAGAGGCAACCTGAAAATGACGACGAAGAAGACAGAACAAGCGACAGTCCTGGTGAGTTTTTGCTAATTTCGAAATTATTTTTTTTTCTTTTTTGTGAACCATGAAAATTGTGAAAACTAAAAAAACGCTGAATTTTCTATGAAAGTGCGAGAAAAGGAAGGTTTTATTCCAATGTTTTAAGGCAAGTTTGAATTTAAAACTGATTTTAATTTCTGATATTTTCTAGACTCTGGAGTTGAATGTCCTTCCTTCTTCGAACCAAATGTGGCCGAGGGAAATGACACTGAAACTAAAGTCTCCGAACGGCCTTCTCAACCGAACAACCCACCAATCAGGCGACCTTCGAGTGCCCACAGCAAAGGAGACGACAATGAGAAGTTTGAAAACTTAGACGCGTACGACGAATTGGACGCAATGAGTTCAGGATCTCGCGACGACACCGACAGCGTCTACTCGGGTGGTTTTTCGACTGGCTCCGGATGCAAGAAGCAACGAACTGCTTTCACTCCAGACCAGATTCACGAATTGGAGAGACGATTTGCCCAGCAAAAGTATCTGTCAGCATCGGAGCGAGCGGACTTCGCAAACAAATTGAAGCTCTCGGATACTCAGGTTTGTCCATATATCGATAACCTTAATACATTTTTTCGCAAAAATTGAAAAAAAAAATTAAAATGTTGTTTGGAAGTCGAGACTAAAATTTACATAATTTGCCTAGATGCTGAGATGAATGCTTGGTTGATAAAATTGTCGCTTCAATTATTTTTCAAAATTGTTTTCGTGCAATGGAAGCACTGTAACGTCTTTAAATCAACTTTCTTCTTGCTCTAGATCAAAACGTGGTTCCAAAACCGACGAATGAAGCGAAAGAGACAACAACAAGACATCGAAAGTGCACAACTGCAAGCACTCTACTCATCGGCACTCATGATACCGCCGGCTCCCTCCCACCTAATGGTTGCCCAGAATCCAGGAAATCACCCTGGACTCAACATGAACCACCTTCAGAACCCTTTCCACTCCCAGGCATCGCCAGTCAACTTCCCCGGACACCTTCCTGGAGGTCAAAATGTCGGTGTTCCCCACCTGACTCTGGGACTCAGCGAACACCTGCCGACGTCACAAGGCCTAATGGTTCCCCCAGTATCCCGCGAGTTCCTGCAACAAGGTGGTCCAAAATCACTGTTCCTCCCAGCCCTGGGTTTGAGCGCGACCTTCGGACTTACAAACTCCTCGAACCATTCTGGACAAAATGGCGGGGTTCCCAGCATGACCTCTAGCAGTCGAGCTCTGGAATTGACCTCTCAGATGAACCCTAACATACCTCACATGGGGCTGGGCGGTATGTTTGGACCTCCGAAAATGAGTCTGTGAAACGTGATCATATAGAACTACAATCATACGCAAATAATTCCATACCAAATATCTGTGCAAAATAAAAACAAACTTCACCGCCTGTTGAAATTGGTTATCGGTTCATTTTCCCGATTATTGTTTTCATCCTCAAAACTATATTTTAATTTTCCCTTCTGATTTCTTTCACATAAATTTAGAACGTATAATCTGTTTGAAATTAGAATATTTTTATATCAAACTTTCTTTTGAACAAAATACACCCTTTCCTATTATGGGAAATTTGAGTGGGAGTCTTTAAATCGCAATAGTTTGCGTAAAATTTGTTTATCTCACCACTTTTGGTAAGTCGTCACAAACAAAAACAATTTGATTTACCGTTGTTTTTGTTTGAGATCTATTTGAATTTCATGCTCTTGTTTTCTTCTACCGTTATTTTTGTTTGAGAACTATTTTAATTTCGTGTTCTTGTTTTCTTCGAATTATTGGTTTGAGGGTTTCTATCTTTGTTTAATTGCATCACAGAAGTTAATTTTGATAGTTTTGATCCTCTAAGATCTTGTTTGCTTATAATCATTTTAATTTGGATATATTTTCTCAAATAAACGGCTTAATTTGGCATTTCCGCCACTTCAAGTTTTATTTTCGGATCTTTTTGTTAGCTAAGTTTCGGAATTTTGTTAACTTTGGCTCTGATCAGTGGATGTTTTGGCGTAGCAGGTCAATATTAAGCTTGTTTGATAAGCGGTCCTGGTGGTTTGATTTCGTGGGCTTTATAGGGACCTCGAGGTTAGTTCAGGGACCGTTTACGAAAGAACAAATCTGGTATCTTTGGTAAATTTGTCAGTTTTTAATCAGCGAGTCTCAATAAATTTGTTTAGCTGACCTTAATTTGAACAAAACCATCTCCACGTGTGTTTGTTAACTAGATGACAAAGTTATCCTGGTCAATATTAAACCGTTGTCTGCAAACAAATTTATCTCGAAATTATATACATGTTAATTAAAATTGAAACTGATTGGCAGGTTGATATATTGCGCAATATTTGTTTTTATTCTATCTGAGTATGAATTTGAGTTTATATAATTTATCAAAATTATCAGCTTATCTGAAAATATGATGAAAGTTTGTTCAATTTATTAAAACTGAACATGATTTCTGATATGATTTAGGTTTTTGTAATTTGTCGCATTCTTGACGTTTTTAAACTTGAAAATCGACATTTAGACGCCCAAGTTGAATTAAATTAAAATGAATAGCATTATAATGCTCAACTTTTTTTGTTGGTGACATTTTTTTTTTCTGGTAGGCGTGACAAAAAACGTTAATTTTTTTCATAAAACTGGAATTTTATTATTTCTTTTTCAAAAAGTTAATTAAATTTGATGATTAATGGAATGTGACTAGACTGTAAGAACTGTCATATTTTTCCAATAATTTTGGAATATTTACAAAATTTTTGTTTGTTTGCTTTAATGTTGTCAATAGAGTTTTTTTTTGTGTTTTCGGAGGGAGGTACAATGCGAGTTAATAAAAAGAGCTTTTTGTTTGACATTCCCAAAATTGAGGGAAATACAAAGTATAGTTGTACTGGTAATTGGGGATTGGACTGATCTTGAATAGCGGCGGTGCGCCAGTCGGTGGTAGATATAGGTAGAGGGAAAATCAGAGTAGAAGGGAAGAGAAGAGAAAATCAGGGAATAAAGAGAGGGTGTTTAAAAATTGACGAGTGCGGGTGTAAAAAATTCACACATTTTTTTACTGCTTTGTTATACAAACAAAAGTGGTGAGACAGTACGGCGCCAAAGAGGCATTTGGGAGTGTTTTCTTGTTTATTCTGTAATCTCAAGTGCTGTGATTGACTAATTATAAAATAAATCGTATTAACTCAAGCACTGGCTCAAAGTTTGGTTAATTGACCAGAATAGCGCTGGATAGCTTCACTTGCAAGACAGATGCCAGACACCTTGGCGCCACCAATTGATTGGCTGAGCTTGAAAAGGCGATAAAGCACCGGTGTGAGAGCGAGAAATTATTAAAAAGTGAGACAGAAAAAAAGCAGCCAGCGCAGCAGCAGCAAGTAGCACAACACAACAGTCGTAAAGACCGTCTTACAAACAACAACAAGCAACCAACCAACAATTCAATTCAAATTCACCAGCTCAACCAGCGTTGCGGCGGCTGCCGCTCGATCAATTGTACAATGTACTTTGTTCAACAACAACAATGCGCAGCAAGCTCTCGGCCCATTCAAATCGATTTAGTGACTGTTCTGACTGATCGATTATCGATCGAGCGAAACTTTTTTATGAATGAAAAAAATAAATAAACTTTTGTATCACTGCAAAATGCAGTAAACCGCAAAATAGGTTTTTTCATCACAGAAATATAGGCTTTTATTCGCCAACAGAATTTTCCTTATTAGAAACTCAAAAAAAATGATTTCATAAAAGCAGCCCTGCCCTTGTATTAAGGCTGGGCGATAATTATATTTGAGCAGTCGGTCGATTAATTGTTAATGACGATCGATTATTTCATTGCAGAAAACAAGCTAGTGAAAATTATTCCAAACATTAATTCTGATATTAAGAACAAGATTGCTTGTATCAAATCAAAGCCCTGAAAATTTCGGTACAAGTTAAATTTTGGTCATCAAAGACAAATTTATGGCCGTACGGAAAAATTTAGCCGTAGTTCGGAATAGATAACCAAAGGCTCGATTGTTTCTTACCGTTATCTGAATTTTTTTGTCGAAATCATTAAAATGAAAAATGGACAAACTTTCAGAAAATAATTTCGAAAAAAATATTCTGAAAAACTGAAATTAACATGATTAGCGTCCAGTGATACATTAAGTAGTCCAAATTGCTTTCCTCAATTCAATTTATAACAAGTTCTGCGCCGAAATAACACGCTGCTTTCGCGTTAAAAGTACGAAGTACATTTTCGTTAGTTGTCTCATAATGGCAATGTTTATAGGTAAATATAGGTAAAAAAATGTTAAATTCCAGCTGAAGACATCAACACTTCAGATAATGTAAAAATTTCTTTTCAAAAATTGTTTGTTGAAAAACCGAAATATGTCTGAAGAAACCACAGCAAGTACAAATATTTCCATTCGTCGAGAGGCGGAACAATGAAACATGAATCTGGAGTAGATTTTCAATCTTGTAGTGCTATTGTAGCTGCCTCTTGCCAGTGGCCTTCTCTCTGGACGATAGCTTCTGGATTGACCAGAAATCTTTATACATTTTCCATTTACAGAAATTGCTAGCCAAACAATACGATTCATACCAAAAAATGTATGGCAAGCTGCAATAAGTTTTTATTACTTATTGACCGTGGTATGTTTTGAATATATTCATGATTTATTTGTAGAAGACTCACTTTTTGTAATTTAAGATTTCTGTACGAGACAATTTTTCATTACTTTCTGTTTCAAATAAGGCAAAGTTAAATATACAGTCTATTCTACAAAACATTCAATCTCTTAACAGATGATAAAACGTGCTTAAAACTAAAAATTATCAATTTAGTAGGTAAAACCTTAAAATTTTCTAATACAGTCAGTTTTATTCATTGAAATTTGTATTATCTCTAAGTAAAATATATTTCCAAAAGTTTTTTTGTGAAAAAAGTATAATTCTATAATATATTATAATAATAGATCAAATTGTATGATCAGACTTTTTCTTCAAAATAAACGGAACAGCTGTTAGACAACCAAAAAGAACAGTCAACTCAAACTAAAAATCCTAAAAATCAATTTGTGAAATCTACAACTGAAGAAAAATTTGAATGCAAAACTTGCTCATACAATAAACCGTTCTGTAAACTAAAATGCAATTTTCAGGAATATCATAGTGTTATTTCAAGTCATGAATTTTATTTGTTTTACATGTTTCTAACGCTCCTAAGTTTCAGTTTACATATAAGGGAATTCCTGGTCATACATTGCGATGCGTAAAGAAAACTATGCAAAAGCTGCAATAAGATGGTATTTTTCTACTCAATGAGATGTTATTTTCCGCTAATTATCATAATTTAATTATGAAAAGTTTCATGTTGTAGTTAATAGTTCTAAAAATTGAAATCGAAAATATTTACATGGAAATTTTCCGTGTACAATTGCAAGGAAGTTGTTCAATAAATACAAGAAAAAACTGGTACTTCACAAGAAAGTCAAGGCGTATTTCTGTGACGGCGAGCAGCTCCGGTACTTGAGCTGTGCAGACTGCATTGCGTTGATGATGTAGGGACTAGAATTTCATCATGAAGAAGTTATTTTGATAAACGGTTCCATTTTGTCTCAAAAGCAAAGTTTTTATCCAAGTTTTATCACATAGTTTGGCTGTATGTATCATATATGAATTTGTCATGTTTACTGACAAGTTCTTTACAGTAGAAAAATAAGATTAAATCAGAGTGGAACCAAATCATCAAAGAAACTTATCTTCATGTCCCCTAAACCAAATCTCAGTTTTTAGGAACATCATTGATGCTTAAAAATTGCCGATTAAAAAGTCAAAAATTGTCTGAAGAAAAAAACCAGCCCAATTACCAATTGTCGAAAGACAGAACAAAAAAGTATGACTAAGAAATAGTATTTCTTTCTTGCAGTATTATGGTAACAACTTCAGGCTCGTGTCGTTCTACCGTGACAAGAGTACCCAGATTTTAAAAAATATCTTCAAACTTCTTTCATATAAATGAATTGCTGGTCATACAAGTTGATGCGTACGGAAAACTATGAAAAAGCTGCAGTAAGATTTTTTGCTCAATTACATGGTGTTTTGCTAATTATTAATCAAATTTAATCAAGTTAAAATTATAAAAATTCTCTAGGTTGTTATTGTTTGAAATCTGTGTCGCAATTTTTGCTCATTTTTTTTTCTGCTTCAAAAGAGTCAAAGTTTTCCTTGTAGCCTATAGTACAAGACAGTCAATCTGTGATTAGATGACAAAATTTACTAGAAATTACCAAATTAGAAGTGAAAATCTAGTTTTCAATTATAACCAGCAGTTTCATTCATAAGAATACGTACTCTCAATTGAACTAAAACTTGTTTTTGTGAAGAAACTCCAAATTTTTAATGCTAAATCAAAACACATGAAAATTTATGCTAAAAAATTTTCGTCAAAACAAATTGTTCTTTGGGAACAGTGCAGTTAAACAACCAAAAAAGGCAGTAAGCTTGAA